TATAGATAATACAACAATCAACCAAGGATTCTAAGCATTGTTCATATCATTATCAGCCCCACAGTACGTCGCTTCAATACTTAAATCAAAATTGGCTAACCATAAAAATCCGGCATAGATCAAAACTGCGGCGCAAATGAACCTGGAAAGGGACTTATTCAGCACCAACCCACCCAATATCACCTAATAGTCTTTTACAAACGAAAACAGCAACCATGTGTATGTTTTGCAGCACTGGAAAGGCATGCAAAACCATTGGTTTCGCCATCAAATATTCACAAGAACTTGCATTATTTTTGGGTCCCTTACCTTACCCTAATCCCTATCAATGCATTCATGACCATCCAGGACCATCCACCAACAATGGCATACAATCCAACCTCTGACTCGACTCTCGCATGAACTCAGAGGTCCATAATGACACAGCCCCGGACTCTGGTGGTGGGGTCAGTGCATTTGAAACTATGGTGACTGAATATCGTGAAGGTCAAGAGGAGACCAGGGCCAACAATCGGAGCGCCCCAAGAGTTGGTATACGGTGAGAGCATGCGTCATGCACATAATTGTAGTGTCGCAAAATTTAACCCAAAGGGAAGTGGGTATCAAAACAGAATAGGAAGGGTGAGGAATCGCAAGGCGTGACCAGATTTGCAAGTGCCAAAGTAGGCAACCTCCTTTTTTTTTTTTAGGGGGGGGCGGGGGGTTTAAGCACCCCTAGCGTTCCTCTTTTGCAGTCTCATGTAATTTGCGAAACGTTGCCTCGCACTATCTTCAGCCACATCATCAATTTGCAAGGAAGGTGGATTCAAAGGTTTTTGGATTTGCGTGCTCATGACGTTTTTAGGGTTGGCCAAATTTAAAAATCTTTTGAGCTCTAATAAAGTTGCAGCGTTTCTTTGTAAAATGGGGCGTATCTTTAACCCTTGGGCATTCGTCTGATACCCCAATCTCCGCAGCGATGAGCAACCCGAGGTATCAAAAGTCGGCAAAATATCTTTGCCTGATATGTTTTTGAGAGTTTGCAAAGCGTTGACAAAAATCAAACACATAACAGAAGCATGCTTTTTCCGTGGTGGAAGTGCCTCAGCCTCAACGGAAAAGTAGTTAACATAAATAGATTTACTTCCTTGTCCGGAGACGCGGATTGGAGGCATGGTCCCCGTGATAACTAAAAAATTTAATAGGAGTTCCAGCCACGAGATGCCCCAGGCGAAAGGTTCCTGTGAGTGTACAGAGTGATCAGGCCACTCCAGGGTCTGTAGCCATGCCCACAGCCGAAATGCAAAATTGGTTCCTTGCAAGTTCGCTTGTGCTCTTTCAATTGGCAGAGCATCTTGTGTCATGCAGGTAGTTGGGACACGATATACATCATGCAAAATAGCCCACGCATCATCACCGGTGGCCTGTCCACCACGGACATATTCAGTTGTTGAATTCTTGTTTTTAAGCAGTTTCTGTCTTTCCAGATTTAATTGTGCTATGTAGGACAAAGTTATTTTCAACGCTTCCTGTTCATTCATATGCCTAGTTTTGGAATCTTCAATCCATTCCTTACATAGGTCTGGAATACGAACAAGAGCTTGACCAGCGGCGGTATCCGCCAAGGAATTACCATAAATGGCCCACAAATCCTCATAGTCTTTCGCATCATTGAATTGACGGTGACTCTTGACTTTGAAAATTGCAAAAAGCTCGTCTTTCCAAAGCTGTGCCAACTCTTGGACCAAGTCTGGATTGGCCATTTTATGCAGAGGGACTACGGGACCAAATTTACGAATCTTATTGACAACATTAATAACGTACTGGGAGTCCGTGAAAAGAGTGGCACGACATCGCGCAACGTGAACCGACCACCTACAAGCAGTTACCACTGCCGTAAGTTCAGCCCTATCAATGGACTGCTTTCCAGTTGTCAAACCAGTTCCGAGACATTGAAAAAGGTTTTTAAACTCCATCTGAGACGCTGATTGTTGTAGAATCGCTGATCGGTGTTCAGCGCTTTTAGAGAGGTCCAAAATTATGGCCCACGCGCTCCTACGAAAAAATGGGTTTGTTGGGTTTTCACATGCTCCATCAGTGAAAAACCTCACTGATTGCCCACCCAAATTAAGGTCAGGTAAGTCAGGGTTAAATGTGGTAGTAGTGATACATTGTTGAACATGTTCATAGTCAGTAGGAAGACAAGTTATGGGGTGATATCTCCAATCTTTTTTATGATGTGCCAGGATGGCCACAACATCTGGATGTAATTGTCGAATGTGAGACAACTCTGGGCATTCAACAAACCTATGCTTCTGATCATCCTCCTGTCCACATAAAGGGCAAGCACCCGAGGTCTCGGCATTCCACTTGGACTGAACGATCTGGGATTGCCATCCACCCAGCATATTAAGGATAATGGCTTTTTGATCAGTATCTGACAAAGCCTGAAAAATTCTTTTTGTTGACATTGCATCAAACGGAGTAGAAGGAATACCCCTCCTATGCTCAATCTGTTCTTGAACAAATACTGTCCAACCCAAACGAATTTTCAAAACAAGTTCTTTAATACAACTGTGCAGACAATTGACAGCTAGACCCGAGATATGAGTAAGGTCACCATTTAAGGCAATTTTCCATCCCAGAATCCGCATGTATTTTTGAAAGGTCGTTGCAGGTCCACAAGGGAATGGGACCACCGCCGAAATAGCAAGCTCAACAAATTCCCTAGCCTGGTCCGGACTATGGAAAGCCAAACGACGCAAGACCCGGATGGCGCTGAGAACAACAAATAGCAATGGATCATCAAGGTTTTTGGAAATAATGGTCCCAGTTAACCAGGATGAAGCGGACTTGTGATTCCCGGCCAAAGCAGAAGTTGCTGCTCTACGCAGCTTTGTGAAATGCTGCAATCCCACGAAGTGAAGATCTGCCCCATACAAGCCAAATGTCCAACATCCATTCTGGATTCGTTGAGCTTTCTGTTGTAGGGTACAAGGAATCCACGATAATCTTTTTACACGCTGTACGGTTTCTTGAATTTTATCAGCAATGGGTTGCACCCACTGTTGAAGTGAGTATTGCACAATTTCACCAAGATCTTTGATCTTTGACTACATTTTTAATCGGGATAGACGTTTGTCCTGATGGAAATAAAAGTGAAATGTCAGATGAACTATTTTTAAGGTCTTTGGTAGTGGCCCAAACCCAACTCTTATTTGTGTCAACTACCATACGTAGGGATGAAACAAAGTTTAGGGTTTTCTGCCATGCCAAGATATTTTGTTTTTGATTTTTGGTGAGCCAGGACCAATTATCCGCATAGGAATGTGGTTTTAGACAGGGATTTAATAACTTGAAGTACCAGAAAGTACTAATTCCTAGCATTCCCAAAACGCTCCAAGAATCACCTTCTGGCAAGCCGGTAGTGCTTTCCATGCAATGGCCAATACAATCGAAAGCCTGAGGTACCCTACGCATTCTGGCAAGTGAGTTGGTCCAAAACGCCAGGATGTTTTGTGGAATGCCAAGGTTATTCAGGATTATGGCCGTGGGTCTACGGGGAATCAGGTTAAAGGCCTTAACTAAGTCAATACATGACCCGCATAGGCCACTTTTGCCAATTATGGCTTCCTCCACCTGGAGAATTTGATTCAAAGCATGGTCACGTGCTCCTCTGCCAGGGATACCACCGCTGATAGCATGAGGTAAAAAAATCATCCATGTTTGAATGACCTGGTCAAACACAATCTTTGATGCCAAACGATAAAGGACACTTAGAATAGTAATGGGTCTACCATCGTGCATGGATTTGGGTTCCGAGTTTTTGGCAAGGAGAACCGTTCGACCCTGCATGAGGTGTGAAGGCATACCAAACGACCAAAGTGCAGCAAATATCTTGGCTAAATGCTTAATGGCAACAGCTGGTAAGGCCTGAAGTTCCTCATGCCGCCATCCGCAAATTCCTTCAGCCTTACCAGGCTTTAACTTATTAATGGTGCGCATCCAAATTTCTGGATCTTCAAGGTTAATGTCGATTTGCATGTGAGGAATGGGAACGTTTTGAATTTCGTCATGAAACGAGGCCCAATCATCATCCGAGAATTGAGACTGATATGAATCTCTCTGCCACATCGGTGACCAAAATTTATAAAATTCCTGGAAGACCTCGCTGGCACATGTCGTAACTCTCATTTGTGAGAGCTCTGCTCTGGCAGGAAGTTTACCAGAGATAAGTCTAATTGTGATGACTCTTTGACACTGCTGGTCGATCATGACAGTCGCATCACCAAATTTAGCAGGCTGATGTTGCATGAACTGAATATCCTGATCAATTTTGACTTGCAAGGGTGCGTCGCGGATTTTCCGCAAGAGTGCTGCACTGGCAAAAACTCGGAAAGGCACCTCCTCCAGTTTGGGAGTATTTTTGTTTTTGATAATGCGATATGTAATAGAACCAAAATTTTGGTCATTATCCACCTGAATCAAATGCTTAAAAGATTTTTTCTTTGCAAGCTTTTCTTGATTGCAACTGGCAGTACAATCAAGCTCAGTTAGCTGGGAAAACATAGACAACTCATCCAGAGTGGGAAAAAAAGTTGGTAGACATGTGACCACATCAAAAGCTAATATCCAATGGGCCCATGCCTTACCGTACCCTCTAGCCTTTAAGATGGCCTGCCATTCATTGCGCAGTTGAGGCAAGTGACTAATGGGAGGAAATGGGTGGTTAGAACTATCAATACCGAGACTACTCTGAACCGCCCTAATTAAAGACTTGATTCGTCTGGCCTGTCGGATTTTATGATGATTTGTCAATTTAGAGACTTCACATGGAGGATTATATCCCCCATGGAGGTCACTTTTGGGTGTCTTACGACCAGCATTGCTGGAAGGCATTTGTTTGCAGCATCTTCCTCTGTAGGATGGTGGCAAGTTTGGCAGTGGATTGATCGTAGGATTTTCAGAATGTTGAAGTCGGAGAGACGAGTCAACTGACTTTTCAACAGCACTGGACCATTGCGCCAGAACCTCCGCCCCAGACTCAACGGAAGTGATGTCTCCAATTGCCAATTCAACACCACTCGAATGTTTGATATAAAAGGCTTCCAAGTGCTGTGGTTGAACCCCAAGACAAGCCCACGAACGTGGAACCTTCCACGTGTTTAAATGTTCAGAGTACGTCTGAATATCGAAATCAACAATTAAAGGTGAATGCGGTTCAAAAAGCGGTTCCGAAACCACATGCATATTAACAACACTTTGAGCAAAAATCGGATGCAGCACACACGTGTCATTCCTAGTTGCGCCTCTGCAAGTCGGTGGCAACTGAATACCAAACTCGTTCTGGAAAAAACTAAAAGCTTCAACAGCCCCCATTTGTCGGAGGAGCTGAAATGAAGGTAGGGTCTGAACATCGATATTGAAATCCCCCCCAATAATAAAGGGTAAATTGACAAATGAAATCAGTTCAACAACATGCGCCAAAATGATATCATTGAGTCTCTTAAGATCATGGAGCCCATTATGGACGAATCCGTAGATGGATATCATTAAGGCTTCAAAGCCTTCACACCTGATGATAGCAGCACATATACGACAAGTTTCCCAAAGAACCTCAGGAAATTTATATCGGACTGTTCGAGAATGAACTTGTGAAACAATGGCACAACCAACAGCATCTCCACGCAAGGATGGTCTACCGTCGTGTGTTTGAATTTTGGGTGATGCAAATTGACTCCAAAAAGCCTTTGCTTTATGCTTTTTAAATTCCTTGTCAAGAATCTTAGATGCGGCGACAGTAACTGACGTTTCAGAACAGAACATGACCTGCGCAGGCAGCTTTAAAATTGCTTCTGTTTTATTCAGCATGGCGGTCGGGTTAAGTATGGCGACACTTAGAGGTGGCCCAGACCATGGCACATATGCAAATTTCAATATCATCCAAAAATCAAACGCCAGTAATCTAATATGTTGGATATATCGTGACAATACTATAATATATAAATGTATATACTGATAATACCAATCTTGCATAATATTCGAAATAGCGTATGTTTACATCAGCCAGAATCAACAAGTGTAAAAGAGTCTTATTGTGATGGATATTTTATTCCAACAATTCCACCAGCTGGTCCGTCTGGGCAGGACACTCCAGCACTTCCTCCCAGCGCCTCAAATCTTCAATGGCCAACGCTTCTTCCCGCGCGCGCTCCGACAAGTCACCTGAAGATGGTGCCCAATAGTTAGTTAAAAGTAAACCAGCTAGAGTTTATGGTAGATATATCAAACTAGTTTATAAATCAACTGATAACTCGGGAGGCACCACCTTGTGCCAATGGGACTTTAAAAACAATTGACATGTGACATCCATTACTGTATGTGGATTCAAATATTGACAAACGACTATTGAACATCCATAGCAGGTGGGATAAGACAGGAAGTAGGATATAAGGCGTATTGGAAATCAGAAGAATTTCAATAGATACAGTAAATGGTATGTAACCCTCAAAACTGTAGGGTTAACAACAAAAACATTAATTAATATACAGGATTTGATCTGATGTTTTGAATGTAATAAACTGACTTTTGAACATGCACATTTTTTGTCATTACCAAGGAATTGGAAACCACCACTAAAACTGATCAAACTGGCAAAACATAAAAAACCACCTGCCCCAACAAAACATGTCACAAACAAAACGCATAATATCATCACAATTTTTAACTGTGTAACCTGACTTTGACAAACAATAAAACAAACCATTGAATTTCAACGGAGTCCGACCAATATTGTGTCATGATTGCGGTATCATTTTGTATGCTGGGGACAACGGAAAAAACAAAAAAAGGAAAACACACTGGATCATGAAGTTAATGGTGGTGTCTAATTTTGTCATCTTGTTTGACCAATCTGAGAGCATTCTCGAACGTTTTTTTGATGTTTTTTGGTTCACACCAAACCTGAAAAAATAGTCTAGAATCATCCGGAGGACGTGATTACGGCAGCTCAAAACTGGCCGCCAGTGGACCACCAAACGCTTCAAATTTCACAGCTAATCGTTTTGAACCCTGACAGTATACTTCTCGCTACATATCAACACGGTTTCTGATCCATAAAAGTGCATTTTGCCAACCATTACAATTAGGAACATCAAAAACGCAATCATTAAGAACTGCAATCAGTCAAAACATTTTAAATACGACCATTGTGTTTCTCTAACTTGAAGACCACATCTTCAACTCTTCAACGAGACGCGTTTTGCAGAAAGATGTTGAAACTTCGGCATGGCTTTGATGCTGCCCTATTCTGTGACTTTTACGAATAATTTTGGGTAAAAACGTTGACGTGTTGAAGGACAATTTGTTGTGATGTGCTGTGATTTGTGACAGGCTCGTCGCTGGTTCACAAGGCACAGGTATCCGTACAAAACCATCTGACTTCCGAGTCTGCGGCTGGTAGTGGCTTGCACCTGGCACAGTGCCCGTCAAATGCAGTGACCCATGGATGGACGCCGAGTTTCTGGTTGAAATGTGTCATAACACACTGGCGAATTCAGCCCAGGCGTTTGAAACATCTCAACATCTATAACATAGGCCTGCCCTGTTCAAGACCCCAAAAAACCACAACAAACACAAAAGATTAAAACCGGCCACCGGCCGAACCTCACCATTTTGGGCAAAAGTTGTCATTCCTACTTTGCTAGGCTGTTCTTCGCGTCTGGGATGTGAAAGCTATCAGACCAGCTACTACCTAACATGGAAGTACCTGGATCATATAGTAGGGGGCAAAGCCCATATTATTTCTTCGGCCCATGATGTGAGCCCACGGGCCACTGTCCCCCACCTCGGCTTCGACCAGGCGCAAAGTATCCAGGGTCGAGGCGGTGTTGCGCCTTGGTCTGGTGGCTGAATCTCAGATTGGGAAAGAGGAAAAAGACGCAGCCGCGCAATCTTTGCCGCAGCCCCCCTCAAAAAACACACGCTGGGGTCATGCCCGCCAGGAAGGAACAAATCGAGGCAGAAGAAGGGATAGTTGCAGCAGCAGCATCTTGCAGATGGGGCAACGCGCAATACTTTTAAGCTTCAAATGGTTGGCCGCCTGACTCGAATAGACACCAGATGCATCCAGATGCAATGTCCGGGTCTATCTACAGGTATTGAAATGTCCAATTCCTCAAGCGCAAGAGCCATATTTTTTTTTGCTGTCCCACCTCCATGCAAGCAAGAAGCTTGTGCGCACAAACAGACTCCAGAGATGCCAAGCTGAGGAGAATAATCAACAGGCTTTGTTTCGTAAATGCAAATCAAAACCAACCAGTCGACATGATTACATAAATGCGGTCCAAACATATCCAAACAATAAGCACCAGTCACATCCACAGAAGTTAGCATCAGTCCCATGATTTGTGGAGATGATATGAGATGCTTCAGTTTGAAAGGGAACCCTTCACATATGCGACGGAATATAGTTTGAACGTGACCATTCCCAAATGAACAAAGGCAAATATTCAAAAAAAAAAGGATTCAATGATCTGGTTCCAAGTAAAAAAACTTGACACAAACCCAGCTTGCAACACCTTGATTGCGGTAAGAATGGGGAAGAACTGGGCCCCACCAAGATTTGAATGGTTTCATGCCAAAAAATACAACCAACTTTCAACTTTGGATTTTGACTAATACTCAAATAAATCTACATCCATCGAATTGCCGAATGTTCAGTGCACATATTGCACTTCATGGTGGAGAGCAGGACCGTCCCTGAGAAATCCCAAGGCCACAACACCCTGCAAGCACAATGTATAGATTTTAAAAAAACATGGAAAACTGAAAAACATTGAAAACATGAGACAAATCTGACCTATGAATAGCTATGACATGGCGGACATGTTTTTCTTATCTTTTTGAAGGGGCCTATAACACTACACTGCACCTGCTTGGTGGTTTTAAGACACGCAGTATTAGTCTGGGGGAATTATCATTCCAGGCAAGGGGAAAAATCGCAGATCTGACTTTATGGTCTATATATATGTCTGTATATCCCTTGGAGAGTCAGTCTCAATCCCCAGACAGACTGATTCTTCAAAGCGCTTGGGGTAGAGGTACAGACATCTTCAAATAATATGGGCCTAGCGCACAGCTGTAGGTCTGCCACCTTGAAAGAATCAAAAGTCACTTATCCAAAAGTACCAGAAAATGATTGAAAATTGGCACCCAGCTGGCACAAAGTGAGCAGGACTGTGCTACAGCAAGGTTTCAAAGTTGCCTGCATGGGGACTGGGAGCGTCTTATACATGAACGGCGTTACATAAAGTTACAAACTGGTTGGTGGTTTCAACCCCTCTGAAAAATATTAGTCAGTTGGGATGATTATTCCCAGTATATGGAAAAATAAAAAATGTTCCAAACCACCAACCAGCAAACCAATGTACTTGGAACAGTGAACCTCGCTTAGGGCCTAAGGGGTCTGATTGGACTCGTTAGCACGAGATATTCACCACTTACTGACAACGATGCACATCACATTCTGGGTCCATATTCAGTATTCAACCCCATGATAGGCATAAAGATTTGTTCTTATCTGACTATGGATCCAGATATATCCAGGTACCATTCTGGTTTGAGATATGTTGCTATCCTCCAACGTATTGGCTAAGTCCTGAGGATACGTCGTATCCTTTCAGGGGGAGGCTCCAGATTTGCGATCTTAGGATCCGCAAATCAATCATCGAGTTAACATCGAGACACTGTAGGCCAGAATTCTTAAGGGATATTAAATGATCCCTGGATGTCTTTAGAAAATTTTAGAATCCCTTCCCCCGTTGAACAAACAGCCCCCCAGAGTCACCATATGACTGGGACCTATGGGAATGGGATTAACCCCAAAGCCTACAACTTTCCATTGAGGTCGGCGCGTGTCATCTGCCTGAGATCTGGCTGTGGGTCAAAACCCTGGCATTCCAGTTTTCAAAGCAAAATAGCTGCTAGTTACTGGTAGTTACCCTCTGGTAATCTAGCATCATAGCCATGGAACATGGCCATCTTTGATAGGTGAATCATCTACACATTGCAATAGTTGATGGCCACGGCTATGTTAAATTACCAGAAGGTATGGACGTTCAACCCGCTGGTCATATGAGACAATCATAGGTGTTGACCCACAGCGTATGAATATTCGATGAACCATGAGGATTTGGCAGGAAGTGACCAGAATTGGTCAACTATCTCACTATCAGTGGCAGAGGTGTCGGCCGAAGGGGTGCTTCCGGCGTGCCGACAACAGACAACTTCGGATTGGGAACGTTTCATTCACAGTTTATACCATCTCTGGTAGTGCCTTGACTTCTGTTACTATCTTTGAATTTATCACATCATATCGTATGTATACATATACAGGACCTACAAACTATAATGGAAATAGTTCCAGATGAACCACTCCGTTTCGTTTCCGCAGTAAAGCCATGAGAAGAACATTGGATAAGCACACATCAAGCAAGCGACGAATGTCTACAGGGTGGAAAACACCCATATTTATAAGTTGTTTATTACTACTATCGACATCTATCGACTATGGCTATATCCCCCCAAAAACCTGAGTTAGCCAGGTGAAACAAGTCAACTTAGACTTGGCTATCTGGGGAGCTGAGCCACCGGGCCAGCTCACCGTTTTGGTGGCTGATACTCTGCTGAAGCTTATCGATGTTCCACCTAAAAGATGAGCTTGCCGCGATGTGGATGACCCACCACCCGGCAAGTTGAACAGGTTTAACAGATCACGAAAAGATATGGGTTTATTATGGTTTATTCTCTACATGGAAGGTACAACAAAGAACGTGTTCAATATATTCAATATAATTTAATACTAAAGACATGTCTGACGAATATCCACACATTGTGTAACTTTAGATGAAACACGCACTCCGCCATGGCCATGTTTCCATTGGTAAGATCTTTTTTCTCGGGTGCCCTGTTTGTTTTCAGGTACGCGTATGTCTGCGTGTGCATGTGTCATTTCAGAATGTGACGAGGTAAGAAGAACTCCGCTTACTCATTTGCATCGTTACAACATCTCAAAAACACACCCAAAAAAATCAACAAATGACATCTGACAATATGTAATTTCATAATCTCATACTAATCTGCAGAATGAAGGGTAACTGGAACGCCATTTGGGCGGGCTTCAACAGGGAGAAAAAATGACAGGGATCAACCGGCAAGATTTGCTGGTGGTTTCCATGAAACCCATATAAAACTCACCCAGATTCGTTGTAGGGGCGGGTGATATCGTGTATCCTCACGGGGGTTCACGTCCAGTGGTAATATAACAAGAAAATCATGCCCACTGCACCCCCAAGTGCGGCTAGGATAAATGTATAAATATACCGTTATATACATATATATCCCATCACACCCCAGTCCATCCCATTATATTCCCCCATTACAAATTTGATTGAAAAACCATTTCGGTCACAGTTCATCCCCAAGCTGTAGCGGGCTTCCAGTTCCTGGATGTAGCGGGCTCCCGGGCTGCATATCACCCCGCTGCTGTTGCAACTTCTGCGCTTCCTCTCGCAACCGCGACAGCCTCAATCCCGACGGCATATGCCGATCTCGCGGATGGAAACCCTGATCATAAATGAGGCTTTTAGTGGGAACATCAAGAAAACATCATCCGCATAGTATTTTTAGTATATATATATAAATAGCACCCAAACTTATTTCATAACAAAATCTGTTCATGGGGTATCAGATAAGTATTCTATAGGAAACCATGGCTGCTACCATCGAATAGAGATAATCCATCGAATTTCCCTGTAGCCGAATCCTGATGGCAGAGTCCCAAAAATCCATACCTAGACCCAGGTGATTAATGGTCACGGCATGATACGCATCTGATGCTGGGTTCATGCAAGCACAAGCCTGGTTTCAACCAAAGATGGCAGACTGCTTGGCCCCAGCACGTTAAGGCATGGACTATGACAAATAGGTAATCATCTCAACTTGCAGGCTTCACCCAGCAGAAAAGTGGACGCAAATGGACGCAATAATTTCTTACCAACAAAAAACCCAAGCGACTCACACGTTTCGATTGCCAGGGCCCGCATCGCCACTCACCCTGCAAAACTCAGTCCATGGATTCGTCCGCTTCAACAGGGCACGATCATGCTGGTGCTTGCATATGCAGCATAGCCAGTCTTCTGGAGACACAGGCCCACAATGGCAACAGTAGCCCCTCGCACAATTGCCCGGGCGGTTGCATGGCCGTCAAACAAGGTGATATCATACGAGCCTCAGTTCCATTAATTCCCATTGGACCAACCACCCCATTGTCATGCCCACAGTTCTTCACTATTACATACCAACATAGCCAATGCATTCTTATCATGTCCCTATCGGTGCTTGGTGGGAAGGGGGTGGGACCCAAGGTTTATTTTTTTAATTAAATGGGGTTCCCTGCAGTATGGTTTTTTCCAAAATTCATCAGTCAATGTATACCCTCCGGTTATTATTTTTGTTACTAA